CCAGTGTCAAAATAAAGTAAGTACTGCGAGCAAATAAAGAAGAACGTAGTGGCAACGAAGCAGTAGACGCCTTTGCAAAGGATGCGACAAGAATTGGCGTATGCAAATACTGTAAGTGCTTTCCCAGAGATCTGCTCGCCATGACCAAACCCCAAATGCTAGCCTCCTGGTCGGTCCTTTGGCAGGAATCACGACAAACTGTTGGTAGACACTATGGTAACCTCCAACAAAATCTACCCACTAAACCCTGGTTTTTTAAACGTCGCGATTTGCCTAAAAACATCACTTCCACTATTATTCGTTTGCGCTTAGGCCATGTTTGCACACCTGTATTTTTGCGTAAAATCAGAGTTCGAGACCACTCTCTGTGCGAGTGCGGCCTAGAAGACGGTACCTTGGAACACATTTTTTTCAATTGTCCTAATATTGCTGTTCCACTTTATAACTTACTTTCTCCAAAATTAACATAAACAACCTCTTAACTTTAGTGTTCTCCCCCCATATTGTTACTCTATGTAAATTTATCCACTTAAATAACATATATTTATAAATATTGTTTTGCTGTTTTGTTTTACATTCTCAACTGAGTACTCCCGTAGTCCAACTTACCAACACCGGTTAATGTCCTATTAGAGCTTAGCGAAAATTTTTTTTGTTTCGTTTTTTTTCTTTCAACTGTGACATTGGCAAAATCATCAGTTCTCATATTGATGGAGCCATAAAAATAAAAAGTGAAGTGAAGAAGAACGTCAATGTGAGCAGTTACAAAGAGGCCAGAAGGTGCAGGTTATGTACTGTGAGAAGTGAAGGAGGTTACACCGACTAGAGTGGCTCCTAGGGTCGGAACACAAAACTGCGAATCAACGCGATTCGAATTCACATCGCAGAAGTCTGAAGAATAAGAAGAAGAAGGCATCTAACTGCCACGGTTCGGGTAACCATTCCTTCGACGATCGTGAACCGTACTGAACGTATTTTTTAAAGTAGGTAGCGACATGGATCGTAAAAAGAGTGTTGCACTGCTGTTATCGATAGAAAGTATAGGAAAAAACACAAAAAAGTTAACATCGCAGGAATGCGCGATGCGGTTCTGCGATGCGACGTAGCATCGTAGTTTTGTGTGTCGGCCCTTAAATAGGATGATAATGATGATCAACGAAATACTGTTAGGCTTGTCAAATGTAATCGGTTTATTCAGGCATACCAGTATATCTATAAATTAAACAAGTACCTACATTATTATTACGACATCTCTCTTTTTATAATACAGTAAATTAGAGACAATTTCCAGAAGTAACAAATGGAAGTTACTGTAGCAGAACAGTCGTTCTAAATTGGATATGTTTTGGTAGATTATGCGGACTTGTAATTGTGCATTGTGACATGTTAACTTAGAACGTTGAAAATATATTTTGTATTGTCAAGTCATAGTCAAAATAGAATCACTATGCCCAGTCAAACATTACACATATAAATATATTGAAGGTAGGTATTATTACACATTACTCGCAAGCACTGCAACAGACTAAGCTAGGTGTAACAAGTTTTTTCTAAATAAAATACACGGCCGTGGCGTGCATACATGGCTTTATTAAGTCAAGTCAGTGATTTAAACGCGGTGAGTGTTATTTAGGTCGATTTTAATGACAATAATTGTAAAATGTAACTAGGTGTCAAAAAAATAACAACGATAATTGGATAACAAAATAAATAAACAAATGAAATAAAGAAGTTACGGATTTGTCATTTAAAAATCGGGAAATTAGTTTCCTAATTGTTATTTAAAAAGCATAAGGTTTATATCCATTATAATTTTTTTTTGTATACATAGTGGTACTTTTACAAGCTTTCAAATGAAGTTGGTCATAACGTCTAAATAAGCTGGTAAAAGTCGCAAGTTTGATCAAAAACCTAACAATAAAATAGCCTGTTTAAAATTCAAAATATATTTGAACAGTTGTTAGTCTTAAGCATTTTTTGTCGATTGGAACTTTAAAGTTTGAACTATTTGAAATTAGTATTCGTAGCACACGCATCCCCTCCAGCAAAACAATGGGTAGGTAGCACTCTTTTCGTCGCAGGAAACTGCGTACGCGCCGCTCGTACAAAATCACTTTACGACAGGGAGGTGTTCAGACAACTTTATGGAAAAGGTACTAGTATTGTAAATTTAAAACGGTTGTCCCTTGCATTAAGAAATACTATAAAAATATCTGAAATATGTCAAATTTAACAAAAAATAACATAACGTAAAGAATTTTTCACTTCTCATGCTCTAAAGGTAAATCAATATAGCCTTACGTAGCGGGAGTAAAGTGCATCACTTAATCCCTGGGGAGTAACAAGTAGCTAGTTTTTTTAATTTAATTAGAGTAAAACATAGTAAAAGTAAAACCTAGACAAACTCAAACAGTCAGTACTTGTTAATTAAGTGAATTACAACTAAAACAATACTTAAAAATAATCACAACAACAAAAAAGATAATTATACTTTAATAGTTAATTAATCAAAGTAAATAAACCTACGGTTTTACAAAGATCGCTGCTCTGCGGAAATTCAATAAAAAAGTGATTGTGTGTGGACCATTTTTATTACGAAAATATTTGAAAAAACAAATATACATGATTCACATAAGAAAGAAAATAAGTAGTCTCATTTCCAGTAGGTCAATCGTGAAAACTTAACAACTCGATATTTGTGCACGGCCTACTTTTGCAACCCTTTGTCCAATCGGGCCCCCTTAACCTAACTACCTCCCTGCACGCCGCCATATTAAAGTCAGACTCAGTCAAGGAGTTATAAGTCCGTCTGGATGCAGAGGAGATATAGCACCATAAGCAAAGAGGATATCCTGCCAACTTTCCGTCCACTTTGGCTTATATTGGACCAGGAAATGCGTGACTTTCATTTATGAATGGGGAGTCTCCGTCATTTATGTCGTCAGTAGTTAAATAACGGTGTCAGCCATTTTTTTTAAACGAGTGGAATAGACAAGGATTTTTTAAAACGTCCATCATCACTTCAATTTTACTTATTAGAAATAACTCACGTTTTCAAGTCGAATTTTTGCTCAACATGTTTCCGCCACCACAAAATTAAGGACCATGGACTGGTTCAAAACATGTCAAGCAGTTAAAAACATGTCAAGCAAATAAAAACTCTTTAAAAGTAGAATTTTACCCATATTTTTACAACGCACTTGTTAAAGTGCTTTATCCGTTCCTTTAGTTGAGCATTTTGTGCATATTTTGGTGTAATAAGTCTTTTGTGGGTTGTATAATTTCTGCCGTGGTAGTGTAATGGTTTGACTAACTGCTTATCAAGCAGAGGCCGTGGATTTGAATCCCGGCTCGCACCTCAGTGTTTTCTGGAATTTGTGCATTGACTTACAATTATATGGACGTCGGGTCCGCGCTAAAAAGTGTCCGCACTTGTAAGGCGCTAAAATCGTATACAGAGCGCCAAACTCCGCTTTAGTCTTCATTTGTTCGACAGACAGCGCGATACTGCGATGACATTACAATTTAAATTTCGAATAGGTTGACTTGGGACATTTTTTTCGTGGTTTTTGTATTAGACCCGTCGTCCATTTATTTGTAAATCAATGAATTTGTGTGCGAAATCTAAATGCTTGAATTTTGCCTTATGAAACCCGAAAGCGTGGGAGTGGCGGACTATGACGGCCTAAAACCTTCGCCTGAGAGGAGATCTTTTCTGCATAAATTCACGCACCTACACTTAGCGTGAGAAAAAATATTAAACATACATCTAGTTTACAAAGGCTTCTTAGAAAATAAGTTTTATTATAATTATCTCGTTTGGCATGTGGGGTGCCGTGGGGGTGCGATCGTGATGAAACTACAATCTATTCCAATCTGCGTCATAACACGAACACGTGTTCAATATCTTTTTGAATAATTGAATTGGACTAGGATTTGCTTAAGTATATATGGACAATTTTTATCTGAAAAAATCATATTAAAAAAAGAAAGATAAACTTCTATAATGAATTGAGCACACAACTTTGAATTTATTTGAACTTGCTGCTGGTGACACAGATAACGCTCTTAGACAAAAGCTTATCTTTACAGTTATCCGAGTCGGTTAAATGTTCTGTTTAGGATTTAAATCGTGATTAGGTAGCCGTTATATGAAATCTCAGAAAGCACATACGTCAAAATTATGAACTACGGTAGTTTAAAAAAATGCAGGTCTTTATTATTTGCTTATTTCTCAAGCATTGGTTGTAAAGCCATTAGGTTGAACAAGTAACAAACAAATTATGAAACTCGAAACGTAATAATACATAGACTAAAAATTAATTTGTGAAAAACCTGTAACTACAAAAACGATTTAGAGTCCATGATATTCAGTCACAATGTGACATGAAGTATTGTAGATATCACTCTGATCGATACATCTTGCTAGTATGACATTCGGCGGTCAAGATATTTTCGTAAGTTATGTTTGTTTCCATCAAGTAGTAGGTATCCCTTAGTACCTACCTCTGAAAACATTTCCAAGCTATTTAGGTACTAAATTTACTTTTCAAAGGTGCCTAGATGTTGCAATGGTGTAAGCATCGTATCGTATCCCACCTAATGAAATTCACATTAACGTGTTACGAATCGTGACTTGAACTTTTCATTGCTGCGCTTGCGTGGGTGACTATGCCGAAAGAAAAATCTATTGCTTCTGGCATGTGTATGTTTTGGAAGAAGAATAATAGCTTATTCATTCGATTTCATTTACCTGTCCCCGTGTGGAAAACTTTTAACTCGTTTGGTGGTAAAAGAATCGGGGGCGTCTTTTCTTAACTAAAAAATAAGCAGTATTATCTAATTAGTATTCATATGAGCGCGTGGAGTCCTCGCGGTGGGGACGGGTTATTAGCCGGCGCCGCCTCCGCGCCCAGCCATATTGTACCGAGCTCCGAGCGCCGCACGCTCGTCGTTCTCCACAATAATTCCTTCTGTAAATATTTGTCCTGCAAGCCGAGCCGGTGGCTGGGAAGGCAAGATGTCGGCATAGCTGATTGACGTTGATATACGGCTGTGTCACATCGAGCCAGCTCAATCCACCGGCGTTCAACGTTAGAAGAAAATTCATCGAGAAGAGTGGACGCTCCCGTAAGGATCCGGAGAAAATTGATCGTTCCCGTTGCGATTAAAAAAAAAGCGGGCGTGGACGCTTGACAGCCGCTGTCAAGTCACGAGTCTTGAGTTTTCTTTTCGGCGATCGTGTGGGTTGGAAATCTTCGAATTTTATTTATATCACTCACGACGATGTTCCCGTAGAGTGCGACCGGCTGTGTAGTGACGATAACGATACGAAAAATACGACCAAAATGCCGAACGAGGAGGTTTTAGGGCCGCGGAAGACAATGTTCGTTTTAGTGATTGTTGTGGGGTGTTTTGCCGTTCTTTGGCCGAAGATCTTGTCTCCTTTGATCTTGGGGGGCACGAGGGAGCAGCTGAAGCCGAACGCGTACGACCGGGAGGCAGGTAACGTCGGTATTTTTAACTTTAATCTCAATGTCAATATCGCTGGACGTCGCGTACTACGAACGCATTTACATGCGTTATCATCAAGTTAAATTAAATTAAGCGCCATAAATACCATAAATTTTATCGTGGTTTATTAAACTCTTCAGTATTCTATGGTATTGGTTAGGAAATTGTCTGTCTAATATGGCTATGTAAATAATTATGTAATGTAAGTTGTAAGTTTCCAATGTTTGAGCAGTATTCGCGAGAGATCGCTTCGCAAACAGCCGCGGTCCAGTTGTTGACTCTGCGCTGTTTGCCGACCATGTGATAGGAATGTATGCTTATGTAAGAAATTTAAAAAAACCCTTAAAATGGACTTTTTAAAATACTTACGGCTATTAAAAAGATTATATTATCTCAAACTTATAAACATAATAATTATAAACTATTGACAGAATTATTCCTGTTTATCATTAAAAAAATTAAAGATTTTTGTTATTGGCATTGTAGTAGTAGGCTGATATGCCACTGTCCTATTTACACAGTAAAGTTTTAGCATTAATGTGTTCAAACATTATTTAATTTATAAGTATTATCATGCTATCATCAACCCTAGTGTTTCATTTGTACAAATATAATGCAATTGAGACCAGTAAATAATAATTTAATAAATAACTTAAAGAGCATGTTTGTTATAAGTCTATACTTAATGAATTTATTATTACTGTCAAAGAATCTCTATAATTAATCATGCCACATTTTTTCTTTACTATAAATGGCAACAAATTCAACTCAGTCAAATGCATTATGTATGCATTATGCAGTATATGTATGAAACTGGACATTGATATACCATCTAAATGAAAATACTTTGGGTTGAAAAAATTGAATACTGTGTCTACTCAATAGTACATTATGTGTGATGGGTGTTGCTCCTTCAGGTTTTTGAGCATCTTCTGGGGTTTGGTAAAGAGTTCGAGAAGTGGTATTTCACCCTGTTCATGCCTGTACTGTATTAGAATATGAGGGGCAGTGTCCCCTTGCACCGAGTACGCTCTGCATAGAGAGTTGTCTGTAAAATATAAGATTAAAATGGTGTTTATTACATTGTATTAGGTACAAGAAATAATTAGAATTTAGTTATAAAATATTGGATAGCTACTTAACCATTACATATTTAGTTTTATCCTCCTGTTTCTATGAGTAACTTTACTGTAATAAAAATATTTTCCTAGTAATTACTGCCTGTGTTTTAACTAATGATAAGAACAAAAGGCAGTACAGTAAATTATTGAATGACCTAGTGAACCCCACTGATAAAATTAATAATGAAAATATGAAAAGTAAAATCCAATTTTATAACAATGGAGTTATAATAAGTAATTATTTCTATAAAAACTCTGTCTAACTCAGCAAGGGTTGTCAGATACTGACTTGTCGTTTTCAGGACAATTGTACCAGATTAAGGAAGAGGAATTGTAGCAATAAATATATGAAAATAAATAGGTATTTCTATTAGGCCTCGATTAGTATCTATCTAATTTGACAGTCACAACATGGCCGTAACATTGTTGTCTACCATTTTTTGGGAGCTATTAATACTCATTTAATACCTACAAAAATTTTACATCATTTGCAATAAATATTTCGACATTCCTTTTATGAAAACGACTCTAGCAAGTGTGTAAAAATAACTTCTATATGTTAGGAATCCAGGACAGTAAAATTTAATTACTGGATGCGGGACAAGATAAAAAATTTCAGGACAAACCCGGATTTCCCGGCCATCTGGCAAGCCTAACCTCAGCCCACAATATCCTGTAGCTAAGTTCAGGTTAGTTCTTTTCATACAAAAACAACTATCAAAATATAATGAGTTGTTTATATATTAATACTATTCCAACTTGATGCAGTTCGTTAATTTGTAAAACATTTATAAAAAAGAGATTTCTTCTAAGTTCAGGTTGTCGAGAGATTTACAATGTGTGACATCTTTAACACTGTTCCGTTTTTGTATAAACAATGCTGTGGATATTTTACTATTGTATGGCAGAATGTACGACCTATCATGTGAAATGTGGCTGTCCCTAATGTTCAGTCATGTAGTAGTGATTGCTATTCCAGTTTCATCATTATCGACTCAGCTGAAAGACTGCTTTGCTGGACATGGACCTGTGAAATGGAATATAAAACAAACACAGCCCAAAGCATTGCAATATTGCAAATTCCAGTTTGTGTCACTTAAATTCTATACTAGGTGCTCTTAAAACAGCTCAAAATGAAAAAAATAAAATGATTTGCACATAGCTTACTTAATAATTTTGATTAAATGAGTATGATTTGATTACATAGGGTTTTCATACCATGGTATGACATTTTGTTCATCTCTCAATGTGGAAAAATTTGTATGTATATAGTGTTAAGTGATAAGATATTAGTGATAATTCTTTAGTGAAAAACCATGAAATACTTCTGATCAATTGGACATAGTTAAGCAAAAAGGATCTGATGCACAAAATTATCAAAAAATGAGTTATATGTATCTAACGGTTCCTAAAGTCTAACCTCTTAGATCAGCAAAAAATCCAACATATAAACATAAATAAATATATCTGGAGTTACATGACATAATAAGTTTTGAAAATAAAACAAGACTGACAAACACTTTAAAACTTCAAACTGCCATATCTTGAGAGTGGAAGTGCATTGGCTCCTTTTTTTTTAACTACGTCCAGTTTTGAATAATAACTTTGTTTATTACACACTACTTTTCTCTAAATTGTTTTATAATATTGGTGTTTCTCTAGAATTATTTTTCTTCTAAAATTATATAGGCTACTATTTTCGTATTTTGTTGCAGGTAATTTAAGCTGTACTAAATTTTAAAAAAGCACCAGTTAATGTTATTGTCAAAATCGTTTAACTGTTAAGTGTAAAAGAGAGCTTTTTTAATGAAATAATCTGAACTTGACTATGATTAACGGGTATTGGAAAAGGCAGAGTATATTTACAGTTCAATCTCAGAATAATTAAAATTAAAAGGTGATAAGTTAAAACAGAATAGTTATATTTTTACTTATAATTACATTTTTTTTCTAAAAACACACTAGTTACATATCAAAAATATTCTATACAAAGTAAAATACAATAATCCCAGGATTTCAAAGGTAATATCCACCCTACATTGCCCTGTATTGCGTCCTAGAAATTTAGGTAAATATACTTTATCAGAATAAGTTTTATTCTGAACTCTGATCATCAGTAATAAAATAAGTATAGCAAAAATCTATTTATTTAAACAAAACAAAAATTAAATACAGAACAAAACACAAGACTTTAAAAAAAGCTCTCTTCTAAAAAATATATCATAATTGTTCTTCTCAACAGGATGCTGTGAAATGATATTTGATACAGAAGTGGCAATACTGGAGATATTGAATGAAATATGCAGTTCCATTGCTAACACAGACGGAAAACTATCGCCGTACGCCGCAGCGGATTGCAGACGAGCCGTCAATGACACCTGTGGTGTTGACATAGCCGCTTTTCTGAAGCGAACTGACAACGTAGGAAAGACGGCCAAAGTAGCACTCGATACAATGAAAGCGAGTAATAGCTCCTGTTTAAAAGAACACTTTGGAGTGCCAACTTTAAGTCTGAGCATACATCCGGCTATGAACTCTTGGATCTTGAAAGACAGTACGTTGTGTTGCATGGTTTTGGAAGGTGTGATTGACCAATTAACGTCCTTAAGAAGACTTACTAATATGCTAATGTGTAACGTTAAGAATGTACCTAAACTTTGTAAACATTCGCTAAAAAAACTAAAAGTACTTATACATAATTCGAATGTTGTGGCGGTCCGAAATAGATTAATGCTTTTTTAGATCTAGAATTGACTTAGGAATTAACTCTACGTTCGTCTAGTCCATGCGTCGTGTCGAGATAAATGTATAACAAATTGCCTGATTTATTAAAAAACAAATCGAATTTTAATATATTTTTTTAATATATAATCGAAAATTAGTTCTTTTACAGGTCCCACGTACAGTCAGCTGTGATCATGGGACCCGTAAAGAAATCAAAACGTTGGTTTGTTTAAAAAACAAAAATACGCAATTTAGATTCGAAAAAAAAAATCATTTACAATATTTAGCAATCGCAAAAAGTTAAAAAGTCGAAAGATTTTAACACAAAAATCGACAGTACCTATTTACTATCGTCGCTTCGTAACACCTTGTACACCATTGTGGAATACAAATGAAGAATATTTGAATATGAAACCCAACTTGGTTTCGACTGTCGGAATGTAGACCCACGTTGCGCAATTATAAGATGTAATTTTAAATAATAGAGGGTACCAATGCTACCTTTTCAAGGCCAAAAAGCAACTTATAGATTTCGAAATAGACAAGTAAAGTAGCTAATAAAACAGCCTTCTAATAAAAAACCGCTTCGAGACCAGCTCATCAGTTCGGGAGCCACGATGTGCTACAAACCGACATAACTACCACAAACATATATAACTTTTAACGCACTTTTTTACATCGGGGGTCAAAACAGGTGAAAGAGAATTACCAACTTTCAACCAATAATGCTTTGTTATCTTCAAGGCTATGGAACTGAATACAGGGTGTAGGACATGTCAAGCCTGACGATTTTTATTCAACTCTATGCCACGAGACCGAAGGTGGAGTGTCGAGCTCTTAGAGGATGGAAAAAAAATAGTCTAAGGTCGAGCTACATGTGCTCTTGACTGTATCTCTTTTGATAACCGTGGCAACGTGAAGTGAGCGTGCTTACAGCTCCGGTACTTATCTGGAAAATAGGGATGGTGTTGTACGTATAACGCACACACTCAACATAGCCCCGTACTAGGGCACATAGACAACCATAAATTACACCCAAACTCACGAGAGAAATAAATGTAAGCCATACAAACATTTCTCCCGGCCCGGGAATCGAACCTGGGACCTCTGCATGGCAGTCCGGCATGGTAACCGTTCGGCCACAGAGGCAGTTATACCTTATAGAGAACCGGATGAAGTCCGTGCAAACGGGCTGCTTTAGTGCTAGGACCTGACTTAGATTGTCCCTGTGCGGGCTTGCTCGCACAGGTTATAGTGTCCTTTCCGCGTAACTAAGAGGTTGATAGGGAGAGACGCTATAAATAAAACTGTATATATAGCAGCATATAAATGTAGAAAGATATGGGATTGTACGTCTATTTCTATTTAACTTGGTTGAGAAATTATACACTGGGACTGTGACAGTACTTCTTTATTTGTAACCGGCAAACTATTGAATGTTTTCACAAGAATCCGGTCTACCCAGAAAACGTATGTATAAATAGTAACATCTAAACATTTTTGTCAAACTAAAATAGCATTTTCTCCTAACACACCTTTGCAACCGATGATAGACAAATTTCGACGAAACTTCCGGTCGAGAGCTTTGAAACTGAATTCCGAAGGTTTCCGTTTGAACCTCAAAGTGTTTTATTTAAAATCGTATTTTATAATATTGTTTTTAAATGAGAATTTGAATATAAGGGAATAGCTGAAGACACTGATGCATGAAATAGAAATATCAAGAAACAACACTGATTCGGCGTCTTTTTTCCGCCACTGTATAGAGTTGTTTCACTCTACACCTCTGGTCTCTTAAATCCAGGAGCCAGTAAGTCAAATAACGCCATTTGTTTTATAGTATTGAGTGACGGGACGAACAAGGCATGTCTGAGGTAAGCGACTCGCCTATCCATAATAGCTGCAGTGCCATTCATTAGTTTTAAATCACAAAGAGCTGAGGGAGTTTGCCAATCGTCTGACAGAAATGGTCACGTTACTGCTTGGCGGCGTAAATAGTTATGGAGGCAGTACTTCCATGGACGAACTCTGTCACAAGGAGATCTACTACTATTGAATTTGCCTGACATTAAGTTCTCTGCAATACTCTTTTCGACACTCACTTGTCGTTTGATCTTGGACACGACCGGATCTTGGAATTCTGTAGGGATTATTAATAACAAAATTTATTTTTACAAAAATTACTAACTTCGTCTCTTTTTTATCTCCGATAAATAAAACACCGAATCCTCAATCACTTGTTTCTATGCGTAGCGGATTCTAAAATTGGCTCCGACTACAGTTCGCGAATTTCTTTACATTGCACTGTTATGACGATCCAATGATTCCAAAGCGGCTTTATACACAGCACGTTTTTAAAGACTCCTTATTATGATATCACGCAGAATCCTAAACGCCGCTATAAAACATGAATCTGACATATTTTTAGGATTAACAGCATCTGACCTGCAGATTTAGTATCTAAACTTAGGAATCAAAAGCGAAATTCGAAAGTTAGGCCGTTCATGGACAGTAACGGCGTTTACAATAAATTTATATATCAGACTTTCTGTATATCAACAACGAACTGACATAATTCGAATGTTTTACATTGAATCTATAATTATAAGCACTATGATATGAAAAGTAGTGACATATTTCTTTGCAATAATATTTAAGTATTGTGCGAACGAGTTAAAGGCCTAGTCTAATGTTGGTTCCGAATACAATTTTCGACTGTTGGAGTATCTAATTACCGTGCTCGAGACATGAAGTATTATGCTTGAATATCGGCTACAATTAGCGAACAGTGTGTGTTTACAAGTCTGATTCTTGAACCAAGACTTTTCAGCGGTGCAGAAGACAATGTGGTATCTACTAATTAATATCAAATTGGAACACAAACTTTGGACTCTATTACCGGCACCGAAAACTTGCCGCATCGTGAAGAAATGTCAATGGAAATTAAACAAAGTAATGCCGAGATATTCGATGAATAGTTTCGATTCTGGTTATATCGAACGAAGTGGAAAAAGGCACCATCGTCTTTGGGAACTTAGATAATAGAATTCACAACTCTTTTTTTAAATGTAAAGTAGGAAGCAAACGAGCAGATAAGCCACCTCGCAGGAGGTGATCTTCGTCCCTTATGGATACTACAACATTTTAACAACAGCCTCATAAAGCCTTGTTTTTAATGATATCAAGTGACGGGACGAACAAGTCGTGCATCTGGTGGTAAGCGACACGCCTATCCAAAACAGTTGCAGTGCTACTCGGGGCTACATCCCGTTACTCTGAGACATAAGTTGACAAGTCTCATGTGCCTGTAATTTCACCAAAAACCGGAACGCAATAATTACATATTACTGCTTGGCGGCACAGATAGGTAAGGTGGCAGTCTTAAGGTCGTATTCCACAACTCTACTCAATTCTCAAGTCAGGATTTGAGCAGACTTGAGTATGATTTCAAGCACTGGAAATACGACCCTAATGGCAAGGACTTGAGTATGATTTCTAGTGCTTTGAATCATACTCAAGTCCTGACTTGAGCATTGAGTAGAGTTCTAGAATACGACCCTTAGAATAATAACGCATAGAATGATAGTTTCATATCAAACGAACTGTCACAAGTGAGGCAAAAATCAAATTCATGTAGGCTAGTTTTAGTAGTAGGTTAATTTTCGGTTTTAGTGAATATTTATGTAAAAATACAAGTTGAAACGCGTTACTTCCTTGTGGAATGTGATGTTAGTATCTATTTTATGTTTGTCTGACGTATTTTTACACTCATTTACCGCACAATTCTTCATTTTTAGCTAAAATTCTGGAGCTGTTCGCGGTGCAAGTTGACCTTGAGCACTGAAGGCCCGCCCGCTCGTGTAGGCCCTTTTCGCGCGCTTCAATTTGCCTCACTTAGCGTGTGCGGGCTAGGTTTCTATGCGTTATTATTCTAAGGTGGCAGTATTTTTCTAGACGATCTCATTCACATGAACCCTACCGCCACTAAATCATAATCATATCACCTGACGTCGTCTCCTGAATATTGAATTGTCCCCTTTTCAAATAAACACATATGCGTACAGCGCGTCAAATGCCTTATTGAAATTGCGATGCGTATCAGGTCTCTGTCAGGTTGTGAAAGCTTGTTTGCGCTAACACTTGAAACAGTGCTAACCAGCTCGGCTCTACGTGCTAATGTCCTTCGCCGTGACTGGGCTTCGGAATAAGGCCCGACGAGTTGGAAAATTACACTTAAACTGAAAATTCAAAATACATCCCTCGATTCATTACTTCAAACTCAATATATCTTTATTTCATTGTCGAACAAATTACACTTCGTCATTAATTAAACTGTACTAATTGGTATGGCAGATTCCCATGAGAAGAATGTCTAAGAAACTCTTTGCAAACAGATATTTGGTCTAGTAATGCAACAGACTTCTGCTTCTACTTCCGCAAGTGCGGAAATTCCGCATGTTTTTTCACATCTGTTTCCGTTTCTGCTTCCGCAACTTTTATAACGGAACTTTTATCGGAAGTTTATAACGTTCCCGATGGAGCAGGTCCGTGCGCGTATTTCTGGGCGGTGAGACGCGTGGGTTTTAGCAGTTTTGTATTTGTTTTTCATTTATTCTAATTTTCATTATTAATTAATAATAAATTTTATTTAATCAAAATTTATATTGTTAAAATAAAATAATTTGCAGCGTAAATTGGAATGTTCTTTGGAAAATTCAAACATAAAGTATTTAATTAATAACTTTTGTACTGTAGTGAAAAATAGGGTTTTGCATTAATATTAGACATAACTGGTTGATGGCTTTACTGAGGTGGTCGTGAGGGTCAACT